TTAAATCCTCCAAGGTAGGGTGAGCCTCTTTCCACAGGCATTCCTCATTGCAGTGAGTTGTCAGATCCAGCATGGCCTTTGCGGAGAATCGGGGTTTGTCCAACTTCAGTGTTTCATGAGGAAAGAACATTGGGATCCCATGTCTATGCCAGGTCATATTGGGGTCAGTGGCAGAGAATGAGGATTGCTTGGCAAAATACAGAATAACGGCTAGGAGCTGTAACTGGTTCATTGTGAAGATCGAGGTCCTGCTTAAACAAGAAAAGAAGAGTATTCAGTGACTTCTTGTTAATAATTAACATGTAGATTTATACCCATGGGTTTAGAAGTCTTTTAACATATTGTATTTTGAAGGTTAAAAACCAATATTATAAACAGTGACATTTAAAATCAGCTTTTACTGATTTAATCAATGAAAAATTCACATATAATGTTGAATCAGAAAACAATTATGTCTTATCAGGAAGATGGGGTACAAAAACTGCATAATGATGCAGGTTGGAGATCTGCAATTTCTACAGTTATGTTAACAAAAATGATGTAATGCATGGTAACTTAGGAGCAGACCATTGAGCCTCTCTAGCCTGTTTCACCAATGAGATCATGGCTGACCTACGAGGTAACTAGCCTTTGCCCCGTATTCCTTGCCCCAAAATCCTATGATTAACTAAAGTCTATCAATCACAATTTAAAATGAATTGATCCACCATCAGCTGCCATTTAGAAGTGACTTTTAAACTTGTCGCACGTTTTTCAGGAAAAAAGTGCTTTCTAATTTAATTTCAGAACCATCTAGCTGTAATTTCTTTGACGATTTCACTGTTGTCCTATCATTGGCATCAGCATCTGCCCCTTTATACTAAGGTGACATTTACTCAAGATTGCAGGCTTGTGCCCTTTGTCTTCATGTGACTTAACTCTCAGATCCTAGGACACATGAAGAATATCCCATGAGGTAATGAGATTAAGAGTGCAGGATTGGCTTCGTTTTCTTTCTTTGCTACTACTCTGCCTCGTTTTTAAGGTGTTATGACTTAAAGCGTGATGTTGCTGGCAGAATCAGTTGTAACCTTTCTGAATGATTCACAGCAAGCTTCTCCCAGTTATTAATGACAGTGCGGCTGTACTTCAAAAAGAACTTCACTTGGTTGAAGTGCCTGTCCTCCTTGGAATGTTCGCCATTTAAGAGTTGAGAAAAGAAGAAATGCCAAGGATGTTTTTTTTTTATCATTTAAACAATGTTATTGATTTTACAGGAGTGATTTTTGAATGTTTGTGGATCGGGCTTCAAAAGGGCTACTTGTGTTTGTTTCAGCATTCTCTGAATATGTCTGGACGATGCAAGAGAGGCTATACTAGTGGAATTTATCTCGTGCTGTTTCTGTCGCTGATAGAGTTCAGGTCTCAATGCAGTACAGGAGTGTGGTGGTGACAGCAGCTCTGTATACTAGGGTTTTTCTTATTTACAGAGATCTTTGCTGTCAAACACTTGCTGCTATAGTTTGTAGAAGGATGAGTTGGCACAGCCGATCTCCTGTTTGATCTCCTCATCAATGTTAGCCTTTTGAGAGAGGTAGCTGCTACGGTGTGGGAAGTGTTTAACTTATTTCAAAATATATGGGAAGTGGAATATATAGATGATCAAGTGTGACTTGATAAGTGGGTTATGTTTTGACAACATTGAAGGACAAGCCGATTCTCTTGTATGCAGAATTAAAGGTATTGAGGATGGCTTGTAAAGCAGATTCACAGTGAGCAGCAACATTGCAGTCATTTTGATATAGAAGGAATGAGGCTCAAGAGGTACAAATCTTTGAAGCACAAACCAAAGGCATCATGAATGACCTGACCAAAACATTTGACTGAGTAAACAAATACAATAAGATTTTCCTGGTGATGTCCTTGACATTTTTCTTGGAAGCGTCTGGTAACAAAGAGCATGCAAATGTCCCTTCCTTTATGTACCCTAATTGGCAGGAATTGGTTTTCCCTTTTACCCCCTCCCCCTAATATCAAAAAAAACTTTGATAAAATTATCATTTAATCTTCTAAACTCAAGGGAACACAATACTAGTTTGTTTAACAAAAACAGAAATTCCTGGGAAAACTCAGCAGGTCTGGCAGCATCTGTGGAGAGAAATCCAAGTCAACGATTCAAGTCTAGTGACCCTTCTTCTGAACTAGTCACAGCTAGGAAGTATTATATGGTGAAGACAGAGGGTAGTAAAGGAGTGAAAGGATAAAGCTAGGGGAAGAGAAGGACAGTTAGAAAGTCCATGGGTTGTGACAGCATTCCAGCAACAGTACTAACAGGGTACAATTAGTTTTGGAGCACAAGTCAGTCTGTCCCAATACAGCCTTAATGCTGGCATCTACCTGGCAATGTAGAAAATTTCCCATTTAAGTCCTGTATGTGTTTTAAAGAAAAAGGACAAATCAAATTCAATTACAATTATCAGCCTACTTTTGACTATTAGTAAAGCAATGGAAGGGGCCATTGACAGAACAATCAAGCAGCACTTACCAACAAACTGCTCGTTTGTGAGATCCACCAAAGTCACTCATCTCTTGATCTAATTAGTGTCTTCATCAAACTAAAGTTGAACTCAAAGAGATGAAGTGGCATCAGGTAAACCTTTGAGGGAGTGTGAGGAGGTAGGAGCCCTAACGAAACTGGAGCCAATAGGAATCAGGGAAAATTCTGCACTGTTTAAGAGTCCTACTTAGCATGAAGCAAGATGGTTCCGTTGTTGGAGGTCAATTCTCAGCTCAACTCCTCAGATACTGAAGCAGTTCATTCCCATATGCAGCCAGACCTGGATAACATTTAGGATTAAGCTCCCATGTGGCAAGTAATATTTGTGCCGAACAAGTGTCAGGCAAGGAACTAAATCTCCAACAAGAGAGAATCTAACCATCATTCCTTGGCATTTACAGTGTGCCAGCTTTAAGATGCACACCAATAATTCACCAAACCTTCTTTACTCTTCAAACCTGTGACCTCTAATACCCAGAAGATTGAGGAATAACACCACCCACCAGTTCTCCTCCAAGCTAAACACCACCCTGACAGGGAACAATAATCATTGTTCTTTCACTGTCGCTGGGTCAAAATCCTGGCTTTCCCTTCCTAACGGCACTGCAGGTATATCAGGCCAGATAGACCGCAGATTCAAGAAGGTGGCTTACCATCACCTTTGAGGGCAATTAGGGATGGGACATAAATGCTGGCCAAGTCAGTGATACAAACATCCTGTGAATGAATAAACCAAAACCTCTTACCAAGACAAATATCTCCTTAAAACAAATCCCTCCAAGGCAAATATATCCTTCCTGTTATTCTGGTTCCCAGAACTACTCAAGGTACTTCACACATTGGCACACCAGATCTTTGTACAGCCAAAACATAAAACTTATATCCCTTTGTCTTCAATTCCTTCAGATAAAAAGGCCAAAATTTCATTAGCTACAACAGTTTGTAGTGCATAATATGCTGTTAAACTTTAGCATGATACATTTGTTTTCCATTAAGAATATGAATTACATAGAAAGATCAAGGTATGCTACATTTAACTCTTTTACAAGTATCAATGTATTTTACTGCTAAAATAATTTGACAATGTTTTATTTAGGCCTATATATTTAGGCCTCAAAACTTTTGTACCAGCTTTTTGTAGCCCTTAATTCCTTAATAGTACAAAATTTATTTCCTCTTTAAATACTTTCAGTGTCAGTTTAACAAGAGGGAAAAGTAATTGTTCAAAATAAAAATCATCTTAAAAACCACTTTCTGGGTTTATCCTGTTCTCTGAGCTTTCATTTTTTTTTCCCCATTATAAACATTGCAAATCTCTATTTATTTGTAGCCTTTGTACAAACTGTAGTTCCGCAAAACTGATACAATATTATGGTACAAACAAATAAAATGGAGAAAACCGATTTGAAGGAAAATGAGACAAAATATATTTGCCACAAGTCCTGAAATTGTTGTTGCTAATATTAAATGAACATTTAATGCATCCAAGTAATCCTTAGCATTTAATGACGACACCTTCCAATTTATTCCAAGGGGGCTAATGCCTTTAGGAATACAGTCAGCCTTCAATGCTATTCAGGGAATTGCAAGTATATTCAAAGTTCTTAATATCCTGTTTGTGTAATTTGTTTTGTTACCTCCAGATGGAAGCAAAGCTCTGGGAAAAGGCCTGCTAATATACAGTGTGAATTTCCCTTTTCCCATGAAACAATTGTGGAACATTTTCCTTCCGTCAAATGAATCCTTTGTGCCAAGGCTCTTGGCTGCTCCTTGTAAAAGTATACATGCAAAATTAATTATTTTGTTGCTATAGCCAGCCCAAACTAAAGGACACTCATACTTCATTTTGATGGGAGCCTAAAGAATTTTTTTTTGTCACTTCCTAATGTTTTAAGTGGATACTTATAATAAAAAAAAAGCAATAACAAATGCACTGCCTGCATGGGGCAAGATATTTTAAAAACTGATAACTAAAATAGGTCATGAAAAAGCCATGAGGTCCTTGCCAATATTGACATTATTTAGACATATACAATAGTGTAGCTGACACTGTATACTGACATTTTGGTTATGCTTGTTTTTCTATGCAAGTATATTGCTAGCTGGTGTGACTCATCATTTTTGGTGTTTAGAAGTAGATTATGGATTCAATTTGTTAAACATTGTGATCTACTAACTTCATCTCATCCTGAAAAATCACTTGACGTGAACCCTGCTCTGTACACGACTTGGATTTTCCAATTGGGATACGTATCCACACAGGTGGGATATACTTGAGAGAGGCATTCCCTGATCCTCACCACAATTCTGGCCATAGAGTTGTCAGGCATTAAAAGGTGGTTGTTGTCCTTCTTGGGTAATTGGGTTATATTTGGCATGGAAGCTTGGCTTTGCTTCTAGGGAGATAAATTGCCCAATTGGACCTCTGATTGATCAATAAGCAAATGCTGCATTCTGAATACTTGTTTGTCCATTTATGTACTCATCACGTTATGGCATGACATGCTGTAGACACACCATTTGCTTCTAGGTTTCATTTCTTGCCCCATCACCATTTCAGCCCTGTAGGACCAACTTGCCTACCTTTCAAACTCTCCCATATTTCACTTGAATAGAAAACCCGATCATGAATTGGATTGATACCAAATGGATGGGAATTTGGTGCAATGAATCTTCTTCTAGCTTCTAATTTGCTAATCTTTTATAAAC